ATTAATTGCATTTGCGATAATATCGCGATATGACAAAACGAAAATTTTTCAATCGCAGAGGCTGCGATTACACTCGGTCACGTGACACGCGAGAGTAAAGAAGTGTGTTCGACTTGAAGATCGATCGGTGTATGACATCAAAGTAAGGCGAGAGAAAGCACAAGGAGACGTCCGCTCTCTTATAGCTCTCGCAGTACTTTGATGACACACACACCGATCAGTCTAAGCAGCGATTCAAGTCGAACACATCCCAGCAGTCTTTAGAAGAAGCATCAAGTTGGCACACTACAGTGTGGCCAAGTCCGCGGTTTGGGGAACCCCTCCAAAAAGCGTGTATCTTACTCCCTGGAACGCAATTTGCAGAAAGCTAAATGCAGAAAATATGACGAGGCATATCTTGCTCTCGGCTTCACTCACTGTGTCTATACCGGACACTATAGTTGTCGCATCGGGCCGCAACAGCTCAACACTGGATGCGACAAAGCGACTGTTGCAAATAATTTTAACTTTTAACTTTTTTTTGTCATAAATAATTACATTTTTATTTAACAACTACAATCACAGTATATTGACTGATTTGTTGAACTTCCAACCTTGTAAGCATGTAATAATTATGACAACATAAAGCACTGACAAATAAGCCTGGTGTAAACATTAATATGAAAGTCAATAACAAATCACACAAACTAAAGTAGATATAAAGATAGATAGATATAAAAACATATCTGTTGCTTCACACTACTTTAGGTAATTCAAAGTCACTGTAATAAACATGTAAACATGTGGACTGCACTTTTTAAACACTGTCTGTTAACTTTAGACCAGTGGATCTCAAATGTTTTTGGTCGCACCCCACTTTAAACCTATAAAAAAAATGTGCTTTATATATTATGGTATAAACATTATGAAAAATTCATGCTTTTTTAATAAAAAAAAAACCTACAGGGGAAACAACACCTGCATCACTTGAAACATTGAATAGCATAGAGAAAATAACTGTTATTATTATTCTCTCTGTTATTTATTTATTTTTTGTGGGTTTCATGCTGTCCGCTAAGGCATAGGACACACACAGGCTTTCCTCCTCACCAACGACATTAAACACCATGTCTACACCGGACTTCATATCAATTCATGCATCACCTAATTTAATTGTAACATATAGGCCTGGCCTACAGAAAATAACATTTATGTTTAATCTATCTAATATTGTGTTGGTCATACTATACAATGATTTATAGCTTGTCTTTGCTGAATAATAAAGAACATAAAGAGCTTTAAAAAATAATTACATATTAAATCGCAATTAGATTTTCCAAAATCGTTCATCCCTACTATCAATGCAAGCAAGTGTCATTTGGTCAGTACTTGTCTTTTGAATATCTAGGGATTGTGCTGAAAGGTGCTCCACGCATTCTGTTTATCATTATTTACAGGACTCCAAAATACTCTCCAGTTCACAGAACTGTTATCAATGATTTCCTCAGAGTTTGACTGTTTTGCTATTGCAGGGGATTTTAATATTCACATAGATAATGCAGAAATCAAAACTACAAAATAAATTATAACTGTTTTAAACACTTTTGACCTGATTCAGCATGTGCATGGACTCACACACAATCGTGGACACACTCTAGATTTACTCATCAGTAGAGGTCTAAACATTTCATCCATTGTTATTAAGGATGTAGCACTATCTGACCACTTCTGTATTTTCTTTGATATATTGATCTCTGCTACCACTGAATCTAGATCGGTCTCTGTCAAAAAGAGATGCATTACCGAGAACACTAGTGTGCTGTTTATGAAGGCTATATCTTCAACACCAAGTACTTCTGCAGACTCTGTTGATCTTCTCCTTGATTCCTTTAACTCAAAAGTTAAGAATGTTATTGATGATATTGCTCCTGTGAAAGTCAGAAAGAAGACTGGCAGACAAAAATCATCTTGGAGAAAATCAACAGCAGTACAGAGTATGAAAAGACAATGCAGAAAAGCTGAGCGGATGTGGCAGAAGACGAAACTTGAAATTCACAATAGCATCTATAAAGACAGCCT